TTTTGTTTGGACCCACTTAAGAGTTGGTCCAATGGACAGGTGGCAAATTATGAGGCCTCCAACGTACGAGGGTCGGGTCCTATATATCCCCAGACCAAAGAGTCCAAGATGCACTCCTTTGTTGAAATGTTAACAATTTCATCAATAATGATATTCTTTTGGTGGTTACACTTCAATAATAACGATATAAGACTTAAGTCGATTCCCTCTCCATTAGATATTGACTTAATGGGTACAGAGCAATCCATTCCAGCCTTTATTCCACCCACCCCACCCCCAATCAACCACTATAATAAAGGAGAAGAAAATCTCAATAATGAGAATAATTTGGTCATTTCATGGCAAAAGCACTTAAAGCAATAGACGTTAAAACTTTTTTAGGTGGGGCAATCAGTTGGTGGGATTGGTTGAATACTTGAATTGGGTCAGATGATGTACGCTAATATATATGGATCCTGTACTGTGATACCGAAAAAGGTATGGTACCTGAAAAACTGATAAGCAATCAGTCAGCATCGTCCGATTGATAATTAATATTAATTTTCAAAACGCCGACAAAAAGAATGATAACTAATCAAAACCAGAAAGATGGACCGTCGGAACCAGGAAGCAGCACTGCAGCAGCCAAAATGGTTTTTAGGCTGCCCGGTTTTCAAAAGATGTGAATCTAGTAATACCTATTTCAAAATTCAAATACATGTATGAATGCCCAATCCGATTTGGTTCAATCTGATATAGTACTTTCAATCCAATCCGATGAATACCTCAGACCATTTTGGACCAGTTCAATTCAATGCCTGGACTGTCCAATATGTTCTAATTGGTTTTAATTAAGGTTGGTTCCAATCCAAACCTAATTTATTGATACTGGTATTCTTACCTTCTATCAATGGACTGGATATTAGTTCAATCCGACCCAATCCAATATAAATCTATTGTGGATAAACCAGGTCCAATCCGATCCAATAAATACTTTGTACCATGAAATCTGGATTGGTTCAATTCACTGTCTTATTAGTCCATCCAATCCATTCAACTTGATTTTGATTCAGATGGATCCAACCCAAAACTGGTCTATTGACACCCCTACTCAAAAGACATTCTGGAACTGTTAATTCTTTTTCCAGAAAAAATTTCAGATTAATACCCTGTAATTTAGGATAGTCTCAGTTTAGTACCTGAACTTCAAAATGTGCCACAGCAGTACCTGAATTCTCAAGAACTGTCAGTTTAGTCCAAAATTGTTAACTGGCATTAAATAGCATGTGAAAGGATAAAAATGTCCTTCAGGTGTCATCTAATTTTTATTTTTTTTTATTTACCACTCCCAGGTTAGGTTAGATTTCAACCAGATTTTCTCACAAACCTCGGGTATTCCTTGGAAGTTTCGTTTTTTTTACAGGTAGGAAGTCCATTTCCTCATTCTCTTCTCTTTAACAAAATTCAGTGGAAACATGAAGAGTTTTCCATGACGGCTATTCAGTTCTTTCTTCAAACCCAAGTAGTAGGGAGGTGGATTGGATTGATGGGAACACCAAAGATGTCCATTTCCACTATCCACTTCGATTTGTTGAACAAAAGATCTGTTAACGAGTTCCTCTTCATAAAAATGTTCCTTTTTGTTACTTCTTTCTGGTTCTCTGTCACTGGCTACGCATTTTATCTTATGGGAACAATAAAGATGTTCATTTCCACTACCCACTTCCAAAGGTTGTGAGCTTCACTATCAAAGAATGATATGCAGATTCAAATTATGAGTCTTTCAGCGATAAAAAAGATTATCCAAGGTGGATTCTTATCGGAGAAAATTTAACAACTCGATTCAAAAACTGAAGTTGTTCATGAAGAATCGATAGGAAATTACGGTCCTGTTGATTTCAACAAAGAAGAATCAGAAAAACCTCTTAGCTCAGGTATCTGAAAAGGAAGAGCAAGTTAGTCTAGAAACTGATTTACTCGGCTATCATTGATTCTGGGTAGTTATGCGTAGAGGTGTCAATTGGACCAGATTTGGTCCAACCCAATCCAGTCCAATGTGAGTCCACTTACAAATGGACTGGACCCAATCTGGTCCAAATCCAATACATACCAAATGCAATCCAATCCATTAAAATGTAAATGGATTGGTTTGGATCCAATCCAAACCAAATGGATTATCAAAAATTATATAAAAGCACTTTTGGCATTGAAAAAACACTTTTGTAAATATACTTTGATAAAAGTATTTTCATAAAAGTGCTTTTACAAAAGCACTTTATTAAAGTATGTAGAAGTGCTTTTGTAAAAGTACTTTCGTGAAAGTGTTTTTATAAAAGTGCTTTCATAAAAGCACTTTTGTAAAAGATCTTTCACAAAAGTGCTTTTATAAAAGTGCTTTCGTAAAATACTTCCATAAAAGTTTTTTTGTAAAAGTGATTTCATAAAAGGCTTTCGTGTAAAAGTACTTTTATAAAAGTGCTTTCGTAAAAATACTTTTGTAAAAATGCTTTTATAAAACTACTTCTGTAAAAGTGATTTCATAAAAGTACTTTTGTAAAAATGTTTTCGTAAAAGTATTTTTATAAAAGTGCTTTCATAAAAATACTTTTCATAAAATTACTTTTATAAAAGTGTTTTCGTAAAAGTACTTTCATAAAAGTGATTTTATGCTAGCTTCAGTTTTGATTAATTTCAAATTGGACAAGGGTTTGGGCCTCATCATTGGATTATTGGAAATTTGGTTTAGGTCCAATTCAAACTAATAAGAATATGACCAATTTATTTTGTATTGGCCCAGTCCAATAATTATAATGGGCCATCCAAATCCAATTTGATAAAGTTTGGATCGGATTGGATCCAAACCAAAACTAGTCGATTGACACCCCTAGTTATGCGGCTGAATGTTGATTTTCACATTGTACTCCATTTGCTTCTTTGCATGGAAAAGGTACTTTGGTTGTAGAAAAGCTTGGAAGAGAGGAACGTGCAACTGCAGGCATTGGGACTTAAGCTTCAAATCCGAATTTTCCTTGAGTTCAATCAATTTGATAAGTGTCCATTTTGATTCAGTCTCAAGGTAGAAGACAATGAACAGTGTCTTTTATTGAAGGGAGATTTTGACATTTTTAAAAGTTTTAAATCACATGTGTTACAGATAAGTGATAGGCTGCTAATGGAAGGGACTAAATTGACAATTTTTGTAAGTTTTCAGGTACTGCAGTGGCACAGTTTGAAGTTCAGGTACTAAACTGAGACTACCCCTAAAGTACAAGCCTACAAGGTACTAATATGGAATTTCTCCTTTTTTTAACCCTAACCCAACCTAAGTTGTTGAACAGCCATCCCGGCCCAAACGTTCGGGTTGGTCTAATTTCTTCATTTTTTTCATACATATGCATACAAGGTTTTAAAACCAACCCAAAACCGGAACCATTCTAGCCACCAGTTTCCAGGTCGATAGTTCAACTGTCTAGTTCGAATGGACAACTCGTTCCAACTTAAAAAATAAAAATGGCCAAAAACCATTGAACAGGTTAACAATTCAACTGCCCAGGTCAGCAGATCGCTGACCAAATCAACAATTTTTGACCAAGGACCGGGTTAAGGGTGAAGTGGAACCGGTTGCCTGAACAGTTTCTGGGCCGTCAACGGCAGTTCAAAAACATTGTATGCATAAATTGACATATTGCATAATATTTAAATATGCAATTCTGAATATGGGGTGAGTTGTCCTAGGCCTCAACCCAACCCGAAATTGAGGTTGGTTTTTTTAAACCTAGCCTTAGCCCAATCCAACCCATCCTGGCTTTTTAAGGTTGTTCAGATTTACCCGGCCCAAGTTGCACTCCTACATAAGCCAGACTCCAAGATAACCCTTGCGATCCCAAGGTTTATCTATCAAAAAAATTAAAAATAATAAAAATAAAGATAACCCTTGCGATCTTATTTGATGGATGTAATCATGTAAGAAAAAAAGAAAAAAAGAACCAAACCACTTATGAAGGCATAAAGCCATAGACTTAAACACTAACTTAATCATGAACCAGTCCAAGAAAACATATCCATCATGAACCAGCCCAAGAAAATATATCCACCCCTACAAATGAAATTCAATTTTACTAAATATCCAAGTTTGAATGTCCCAAGCTCTGCCTGGCCAGCCCCAACTGTCATGGGCCAAGATGATATGGATGCAACCCAGCTTAAGAGTCCAAGTTAGATTGAGTAATTAAGCTTATGACCAGATCTAATCTGAACTGAATGGTGCATTATTTTTAGTGGATAAAAATTATATATAAAAAAATATTCATTTAGCTCAAAACTTCAGCTGTAACAAAGCGGCCCCTATAGTCCATATCTGCCTTACTGAATCTGCAGTTGCAACTCAAGCAAAAAGTCAAAACATATAACTTCTAATACCTCATTAGGCCAAATCACGGTAGTCAAGTGCTTTAACCAATAGACCAAAGGGCCATGGAGTTGATTAGCACTGAATAAAGGGAGCATCACAAAAGGGTTTAGTTGGCATGTGGGCATGGTTCTAAATGTTGGTGAAATTTCAGTTCTGGACAATGCCACCTACACAATACATGAAATATATTCAGTGTATTCATTTGACCAAAAAATCAGACCTTGTCCAAAAGTTCAAGATTTTGGCTATTTATTTTGGTAAAAAATTTGGAATGTTATTAAATTAATAAATCAATAAGACAAAATGTAGACATACAATAAAATACTAACATAAAGATCAATAAAGTAACCAAAATTTATTAGGAGAAAGTCAAATGTTGTTCATATTCAAGTTTTTTTTTTTTTTTTTGGATCAGTAACTTGCAACTTTCATTAATTAAAGAAGAAATAGATACAGAGATACAGAATTAGGGGAGATAAGCTTTCTTAACTCACCCACCCAAGGACTATAAACAAAGATAAGAAACTAAAAGATAGCCCAAAACAAGGAAGTAAATAAAATCGTATTAGGTAAATTGATTTTCCCATGATACAACTAATGGAAAGGGCCTTGGAGCCATTGCATAGTTCCTCCTGTAGATCTCAGTGCTGGCTTGTGTGGCCTTTATTTATTGTACAACTAAAAAGTACACTGGGCTCATGCAGGCATTAGCAGTTCTGACCAATGAACTAATGGAGAACCACAGAAGGATGAGCTATCCAACTCAAGATCTACAAAATTTACCAGCCTATATCCAGATGTAGGCAGATCAAACCATGCTCCATTATATGGCCATATGTTTAATCCTGATTTTTTTTTTCAAATAAACTTGGTAATTCTAGCACTAATTTTTCAAGAAGCATTACTTGTCATGCAATTTAGAGTTTAACACTTGAGTTTATGGTGCCTTTTTAGGTTAACCTTGTCAGTTTAGAAAACAACCATGAAAACACAGCATATAGACAAGAATGGGATAAACAGAAGAGCCCCATACAGTCAACAGTTTGTTTAAGGTCCCCTCTATCTGCATGAAGTAAGCCTCTAACAGCATCTCCAAATCTTCATTGTTCGACTTAAAACCAGTAAAGTTTCCACTACTGCTTTTATTGCTCCCTTAATCCTCATAACTGAAAGTTGAAACAACAATGAAACCATGCAAGTGCAGAAGTACATTAAATAAAGCTTGATTGAAAATTTCTTGAATATGCTAGTAAAATGAATAACTGAACCTTGTTGCTATCATATATTATAATAATTCATGAGATTCACAAAATATTTCAAAGATATTCTTAAAACAATGATAAGATGCGTTCCTTTTGATTCTAAGAAGTCATTGTTGCTCTTTTTGATGGGTGTGGTTGATTCATACTGCAAATAATCAAATTTCGGTACATGGCTTAAATATAAAAAAGCAAATTCACTGAAAGATGCAACAAGGCTGATGGATAACTCTGGCTCATTTTCTACAAAATCCTGCTACAAGGCAGACATTAGTGCCTTTCAGAAGGTGACATGGAGTTGGATATGGAGGGTTCAGGTCCCACTGAAGTTACTTTTTCTTGTGGTTGGCTGCTTGGGACAGAATTCAAGCCATTGATCACCATCTTAATAAAGGAATGAACCTTAATAGTGTTTGCTGTCTTTGTGAGATGGACCAGGAATCAGTCAGCTACTGCTTAATAGACAGTGGGTTACTCCCTCGAATTAGGCAGATCTCCTCTCTTCTTGGAGAGTTGATGGATCCTCTGCCAAAGGGAAAATTCTTTGTGAGTTCTTTGCCTTTTGCTATCTCTTGGTCTGTACGTAAAGAAAGGAATATCCAGATTTTTGAAGCCAAAGCCTTGCCCTTCAAGCAACTCTTGAGCAAGATTGAATGGACTTGCATGAGGTGGTCTGGGTACTGAAGCAATTTGCAGTATTCCAAGATTATACGTTTAGGAATCAACAGGCTAGTACCATTTTTTATGTTTCCTAGTTTTTTCATGGACATTTTGTACATGCTGCACATACAACTATATTATGTAATCTTTTTATGAAGGTGTCTCACCCTCTTTTCAGCAATATAATAGTATTCACCACTTGTCAAACGGAAGTCACTGAAAGATACATAGTGGTAAAGTTATTATTTTAAAAAAAAAAGAAAAGCCAAGTTAATGATTACAGTGATACTCTCCATCATTGGGAGGAAAAGAACAAAAGAAAATGAAATAAATAAGAATTGAAAGATGAACCATTTAACTGAGGTAAAATTAATGGAATTTGAGAACCACAAATTTGTACACGCAATTTAATGAAAATACATTTTTAAACCATACAAGGATCTCTTGTAATTATATGATCATAAACTCTCATGAACCTGAAATACACTGCCATATACATAGGATCATAAACTAATCCTAAATTTGCAGCACCACCATAAACCAAAAGGAAATCAGTGAAACCCATAATTGTAAGATGGGATAAATGGGTTAAAACTCTAAAAAGAAACTGACAAAACAAAATCATCTAACAAGTACAAACAAGCGATTAAATTAACTCACTTTTCATCATCAAATTCAAGTGTCTCCTCATTAATACTATTAGCAGAAGAGGCGTGGAGAAATAAGTAAGAAGAAGAGAAGGGAGAAAGAGGAGAGAAGGGAGAAGAAAAGAGAAAGGTTTTGGAGTCTTCAAATCTGGCTGGCGGTGCCAGCTTACATTATCATATATAGGGCGACCATAATTAAAAGGGAAAAAACCCTTATGCCCCTGCTGTAGTTAAAAGACATAAACAATGATAAAAAAACTACTTTAACTAGACCAAACAGACCCTAACTCAGCAGAATACAAACATAAAAAAATAAACATTCCAACAAATACTATTCTCTCAAAAGGCAATTTCACCAAACTCTAAAATCTTTGCAACAAGAAAATACTTTTGTAACTCAATTGTCAGCGAATACAGATAATGGTAAAATCTAATAATTAAAGGTAATTATAATTAACATTTTGGTCCATTAATTAAATAGGAGAAACATTAGGTTTCTAACAAAAATTAAATGTCAATGGCAACTGACCACAAGCTAAAAGTGGCTTACCATCAGCCAATAAGGGAAGTTAGAAGTGATGGGAGGTATTAGTATTTGTTAAAAACTTGGGGGAGATTTATGTATCACATTTTTACCACTCCACAAAGGTTGGTTATAAGAACATCTGAATAATTGTTCCCTCTAATGATCCATGCAACTCCAATGCAGGATATAAATCCAAGCAAAAGACCAGGTGCTGATGCTGATCGCTATACTGCATTAACCCAAACCTTGTATGGGTTTCCCTACCTTTTCTTTCAAACCAAACACAGCCTAAGGGTGCACCCTTTCTTTAGGGGGATTGACTGGAAAAATTTAAGAGGGAAACCACCTCCAAAACTAGCTTTGGAGTCTAATGTAGATAGTCTATCTTGAATTGTTTTCAGAATAAAGGATGCAATTATAAGTCTTACGTCAATCATGTTGCATGAATCAATTTGCCAGAATTTCTTTAACTTTCTGGTATATACTTTTGTTCCAATGTTCATAAACAAGTTAGAAAAATTATCTCAAATATTATGGGAATGAAGTATTTGCTGATGAATGATAAGTATATGGGAGCTAAACTCTGGATTGGGAAGGAAAAATCACAATGTTTCCAAGATCCATTAGAAAATTGAAGGCAGATTGGCTTCATGGAGAGCTAGGCGGTTGTCACAGGCAGGCCAAACAACCATATGATTAAAGCAATTGTTGATAGAGTGCAATGGTGGGAGAGGTGTTTAGCCAACCTCAAATTATGGGGATTTAAGGCTGAATTGAGTTTAGGAGTAAAAATGAAGGCTTCTTTAAGTTCAACCCATTGTATTCAATTCAGCTGTCTCTTTTTCTACTCTTTCTAAATATTCAAATTTTGTAAATTTCTAGGAATCAACAGCTTGGTGATACAAGAAAACCACTCAGCAAAGCTCATAAAATTAAAGAAAGATGAAATAACAAAATTTGAGATTCCATACAATCATGCAGAGCTACAGCAATGCAATCAAAATGGTGAAAAAATATCCTAGATGCACATATTGCTTCCATGGATAGGAATATCTTGAATGCCAAGGCTCCCACCTTGCAAAGATAGCCTAGATAGTAAATGCCAACATTATTCACACTACCATACATCTTTAATATGCCGAAAACACAAATAGTTTCAGCTATGGGAAGAAAGAAAGAATTACCAAGGATTCATTTGTTGATTTGTATTATAAGACATTCTGGTAGCCATTATCCATGGCAGAATCCTTCAAGGGTTGGGACTCTGCATCTGCAATATTTGGTTCTTGAAAACTTCAGCTACACGTACTGCAAGACTCTATAGCAATTTTCAATCTCTAGATGCTGTATTGGAAAATCAGTGGAAGGAAAGATCTTGCAATTAGCCTAAACAAGCCCCATCTCATATCATACCAAGACAGGCATCGAAACCATGTTTCAATCATTAAACCACATCAGTTTACACATCAAAACCATGTTCCAATCAGACAGGTAGTTGGCTGGGTTGATCTAGTAATACAGATTATCTTCAATGTAATTAAGAAAATTTTAATTCTAATACTGCTTCAACATTTTAAATGGATAATTTAACACTTGGGTCTAGTTTCTAGCTCTGCAGCTTTGGACCTTAAAAGTTACCAAAGGCAACCAATGAAACAACTGAAAAAGTTCTGTTTAGTTCATAGTTATTATCTTTAAAAGCAGTATTATCAGGCTTGGACTGGACTTGACACAAATTTTCAATCCTACTGCTACAAAAAAAAAAAAAAAAAAAAAAAACTGGATACAAAATCATTTTGGCAACTGGGTCACATAGCCTCACAGATTGATCGGTTTCGGATCGGTTCGTCTGATTGTGGCAAAAATCATAAGTCAATGTAGATGCATAGAATAATAACAGATATAAAAGTAACTGCATAGAATGATAACAGATAATTTATCCCACCTAGAGTTGGTGTCGTTTGTTGGGAAGTTGTTTATGGAAAGATTAATACTTGTGACTTGCTTCAAAGAAGGCACCAAAGTGGTGCTTATCCCCTCACTGGTGTACCCTATGTAAGGCTAATGGTGAGAGCTGCTACCACTTACTTATCTCTTGCCCCTTTACTACTTCTATTTGGGAATGGTCATTTTCCTTGTTTAGGTGCAGGTGGAATCCACCACTGGAGGTTTAAAGCCTATCTGCACCATCTTCCCTTGCATGGCCAAATAAAAGGGGAAAATCTATGTAGAGATGTTTGAGAGCTGCAACAGTATGGACAGTTTGGGAAGAACGAAATTATAGAATTTTTCTAGAAAAAGAGAGAAGCAATGAAGAGGTTAGGGACACAGTTTTGATTAGAGCAGTACACTGGCTGAAGTCCATAGGTTCCTTTTCAAATGTGTCAATGGACAATTTGCTCAAGAAATGGAAAGAAGTGGCTGAATCTACATCTCCTAAGACTATTTCTAGTTATCAGTGGTATCCACCAGAAAGAGGCTGTATCAAACTTAAATTTGATGGTAGTAGTATGAGAAACCCAGGAAGATCAGGTATAGGTGGAGTATTCAAAGACGATGAAGGCAAGACCATTGCTCTCTAGTCTGGTCCACTTGGGGAAGGAGACTATCTTGGAGCAGAAGTTTTAGCCTTGATGGAGGGTATACGAAGGGTGAAAGAACTGAACATTAGAAAACTGATTATTGAAGGAGATTCAAAACTGGTATTTAGTTGGATACAAAGTGAAGAGATGAAGATGTGGATGTACAACAATAAAAAGAAGAAATTTAGGTGGCTGACAAGAGAAATGGAAGTCTCTTTCAATTGGATAAAGCGTTGTACTAATTCTGTAGTGGATGTTTTAGCCCAACAAGGGATGGGAAGAGAAGCTTTATTCTGGGCACAATTGTAAATCAGAAACTTGGGTGTGGGGAGAGAAAGAGTTTTTGTCTCTCATTGTCTTTTTACCATTAGCACCTTGTACTTAACTGCTTTGTACACAGCATAATAAAAGTTTGACGTTACCAATCAAAAACAAATGATAACAGATAATTGGCTCCTAAACTCAATTCTGCAGGTCTGCAGAACAACCAGATGATGGCACCATGGGTTCAAATGCTGTGAAACTAAAGGGATGTTTAAAGGGCTCTTGCCACTCCTCCCCATTGTTAAAGTATGATGGTTGAGACATTCCACTACTCTCAAGACCTTGATCTTAGGTGGTTGGGACACTACTGAAGTTATTTGTTAAAGTGTTATTCAATGCATCATATGATGTCTCTTTTACCTTTCCACAGTCGACAACAAAAACTACATCATCAATGGTGATACTTGTCTCAGCTATGTTGGTTGCAAGAACTATTTTTCTTATGCCATCCTCAGGCTTTTCAAATATTAACCTCTGAATGCAAACCAGAAAAGAAA